ACTGACTGGCACTCGTGAAAGCCAGACTCGCGAAGAGCAAGCTGGATCTCGTCGAGGTCGTGGCTGCATTGACCACATCTTCACTTTACGTCAGTTGTTGGAGCACCGTCACATATATTGGCGGCCCACTGTTGTCGTGTTCCTCGATATCAAATGTGCATTCGATTCGGTGGATAGACATGCACTTTGGGACTGTCTACTCAGGAAAGGTGTCCCCGAGAAATATGTAAATATTATCCAAGCATTATATGCTCGTAGCTCGGGCAGAGTGAGGGCTTACGGCAAGTTGTCGTCGCCCTTTAATATCTCCAGCGGTGTGTGACAAGGATGCCAGTTGTCACCTTTCCTCTTCAACTTCGATGTTGACGAAGTCATGGAAATCGCGTTCACAGGACACGACTTAGAAGGTGCGGATCTGCTCCCAGGAGAATGACTTATTGACTTAGAATATGCTGATGATATTGCCCTCATCTGCGACAGCTCCCAGACGTGCCAAGCGGCACTGGACAGATTAGCACTGGCTGTCCGTCACTTTGAGCTTTGCTTTGCACCCTCCAAGCGCGAAGCGTTCCTCCAAGATTGGTCTGGACTGCCTCCTACACTGACCCTTGGTGGGGATCAGCTAGAAGTCGTTCAAAAATTCAACTACCTGGGAAGTTGTATCAGCGCCCGTGGGATTGAAGATGAAATCACGAATCGTATAGCAAAAGCTTGGGGCGCTTTTGCTAACCTTCGCCACTTATGGCGCCGGCGCGACATCACTATTGCCCTAAAGGGTAGAGTGTACAATGCAGCGGTACGTTCGATCCTACTGTACGCTGGTGAAACCTGGCCGCTTAAAGCAGCGGACATAAAGAGGCTAGTTACGTTCGACCGCCGGTGCCTTCGTAATTTAGCTCACATCTGGTGGGAACACCGCGTGAGCAACGAGCGTGTTCGACGCCTTGTTTATGGCACAGGAAAAGGAACTGAACCGCTCAGCACCGTTATTTCACGCATCAGGCTCCGATGGCTCGGCCACGTGTTACGCATGCCAGCTCACCGACTTCCGCGACGTGTGTTGTTTGCGGTCCGGGGGTGTGGATGGAAGAAGAGGAGGGGTGGCCAAGCGATGACTTGGTCGAGAGGAATGAAGGCCCTCACTTCTGAGCTGGCCTCGGTTGGAACGTCTCGGCTCCCTGGTTTGGGTCCGAAAGACGATGAACACGTTTGGTTGGACACACTTGTTGATATGGCTAGGAGCCGACCTCAGTGGCTTAAAATGTTTCGAAATACTGGTAGCTCGGGTTGATGAATCAGTTGTTCATTTGTTCTCCGAGCTTGGCGGTTTTCTCGCAAATGTTTTACCACCATGCGAGGTGGCATCCTCAGTGGAGTGAGGATGCCACCTCACATGGTGGTGAAACGTTTGCGAGAAAACCGCCAAGCTCGGAGAACAAATGAACAACTGACCTCAGTGGCGTTCGTGCTGTGAGTTTCTTTGTCCCACCCGATACCTTCTAGCCCCCCCCCCTCCAACCACGATCTCATTATTTAGCCTTATATAATTTTGCATAATAATTTTTTGGGTGCACAGCAGCTGGCTGGTAGCTTACCGGAACGATGCCCATCCGTTACCGGTAGCTCAGTCAGCTTGCACCAGTTGCACTTTTTTCTTCTCTCCTTTTTTTCTATGTATTGCGGCACAGTTGCTGAGGTGTTTCTCACCTCTAGCTAACGTGTATGATGATGATGATGTTTTGGCAAACTTCGACGGCAATTGACTCGAGAGCTCAGTCGCATCAAGAACGCTTTATGGACGGAGAAGGCGAACCAGATAGAATGATACGCCGAATGCCGCAAACATAAAGAATTCTTTGACTCCATGAGAGTGGTGTATGGACACGTGTTGCGGACGCTGAAAAAGCAGCTCAATGCTACTTCAAGCGTTGCCTGCACACAGACTGCAGACCTGGCGAACGCAGTTTGACTGTCTCTTGGACAATCGTTCAGAGAATGACTGGGCTATGTTACAAGGGCTGTAACAGGAGATGGAGGTGCGCCTTGCCGACACACCGACACTGGATTAGCAGTTGTTGAGCTGCGAAACGGTAAGTGCGCCGGCGCCGACGAGACATCCCCTGAGGTGTTGAGACACGGCGGATGCGGGTTGATAAATGTGCTGCGCCACTTGGTGCAACACGTTTGGATTAAAGAGGAAGTGCCGGCCGAGCTGAAGATGTGCTTGTGCTACCCCTATACAAGGGCAAAGGGAGCAAACAATGTTGCACGAATTATCGTGACATCAACTTGCTGAGTTGTGCGTGGAATGTGATTGCAATAATCCTGCTCAACCGCGCCGTCACTCAGATCGCTGAACTGAACGGGGCAGAAGAACAACGTGGATTGCGTTCGAGTCGCAGCATCATAGATTTGGTGTTCGTGGTTCGCCAGCTGCAAGAAGCATGCAAAGAACTACACCAGCCATTGTAATCGCTGTTTGTAGACTTCACCAAGGTATTTGACATGGTGAGCCGCGAGGCAGTGTGGCTGATATTGGGTAAGTTTGGTTGTCAGAGTAGGTTTGTACGTGTAATAGAAGGTCTGCACAGCGGTATGCGGGTGAGAATCCAGCTGTGTGGACAAACCTCGGATGATTTTGCTGTTGTCTCTGGTGTGAAGCAAGGCAAAGTCAGTCCCTGCCCGGTTTGATAATTACCTGCATGCAATGATGTCCAATGCTTTCGATACCGCATATGAATACGGTGTTCGTGTGGAGTGCCCTACTGGTGGTGGGTTGCTGAACATCTGTCGTTTCTGGGGGAGAACCACCGTGTGTGGAACAACCATCCGTAGGTTGCCGCTTGTCGACAACTGTGCGTTGTGTGCACATAGCGTGGATGAATTGCAACACATGATTTCGGCTGTTGCTTCGATAGCCGCCAACTTCAAACTCACCGACAGCACAAGCAAAACTGGTCGTATATTTCAGCCTACAACATAAATGGAATCCATACGCCGGCCGCAAATCCACATTGATAACTACGATTTGGGAACCAATTCGAGATTTTCCTACCCAGGAAGGGAAATATCTACCGACCTGTAGATGACGAGCGAGCTGCACATCAGCGTATGGAAAGCGGTTGTCAAGTTTGGAAAGCTAGAAAAACGTGTGTGGAACAACCAGCAACTCACTGTCCGTACAAAACTTATGGTATACAAGTCTATGGTACTGTCCGTTCTTCTATGAGGCAGTGAAACCTGGACAATGTACAAGAAGGACGTCAGATATCTGGAGCAGTTTCATCAATAGCGTCTGCGACGGATTCTGTGCATTGGTTAGTGAGACGGTTGCAGACACGGAAGTGCTGCGCCGCAATAGCATGTAAGCAGTGGACTGCACACTTCTGCTGCGGTACCTGAGGTGTCTGGGGCATATCAGTCGCATGGATTCCATGCGGATACTCAAGCAGCCCTTCTATGGACAACTTAGTGCCGGGAAGCGGCACGTTGAAAAACCGAAGTAACGTTACCAGGACATGATCATGGTGGGTTTAGCACGAACTAATGTTGATTTCAGATGTTGGGAGTCAAAGGCAGTTGATCGGCGCGAATGGCGTGAGCTGATCAAGAGGGCGGTTGTCCAGGTGTATGAGAAATCACTACTGCAAGCGGAAAAGAAAAGTTATTTGGGTAAGTAACAAATGTCGATGGTGGACAGTCAATCAACATCGAGCACACATGCGGTCGCGAATGCTTGAGACAAGCTTGCTTAGTGAATCCTCAGCGTCGCCACGCGAGACCAACATTTAAGAGAAGAGTGAACTAAATATGTAGTCATCATCGGCGCAGCGCTTGGTAAGTCCACTGCTTCTGATTCAATTTACTAACGCAGACCAATAAGGCGGTTGACGTGGTACGTGTGCTATATCATCGTTGCATTTAGTCTGTATGTGTACCTGTATGTTGAGTTTCTTGCATTTCAAATGTTTGGCTGCGCCCAGGTGACTGGGCGAACCGAAACAGTTAGGGCAACGCTACATCTCAACCTCTGGGTTTTAGTATAGGAGAATAAAAAACGTTTGCCGCTAAAAAGTTTATAGATGAAAATAAGATAAACACAAGTAGGATACCAGAAGAGTCCAATCATTCGTATTTGATAAGCAGGAACCTACACCGGTGAGCTGGATAGAGAAGCACGAACATTAGTTCGTCAATTTTATTAAGTGGCCGAAAGTTAGATTTCAAGCTTTAAATGCAGTTCAGTACCGAGGTTCTCATGTATATATTCGTAGACAGACTGCACACATTTGAGGGCCTAACGGTTGTACCGTTAATATTAACTCTCAAGATTCGGATAGGACAAGCAAGCTATAACTCAGACTACACTCTAATAGCTTGCTTGCCGAGAATTTTTCAGGACGAAACGATAACCAATGGCAAATGAACGAACATAGTGAAATGGATAAAAATACGGTATTGCCCGCTCGAAAGCACTGTATTCCTCGATGTATTTCGACATAATTTGAGCCTATCAGGTGGAGATAGCGGGTCTGGAAGCAGGAATCAATAAAATATTAGTTGAGACCTATACCTCTTTAGCCACTGGGCCACGACAGATAACGCTTGGTATAAATCATAACTTCTTGGACGAGCCCCATACGATTACAGAGCAAGACAGAAAACGTAGTCGAATGCATATCAGAGTTGGGTGTTGCAGAGTTGTAGGCTTCCGACATAAGAGGATCATTTTTGTATATTCTTTTTCGACCCACCGGTACCCACGTCCAGCATTCTACAATATTCCGATGATCAGGTGATAAAATGGGAAGAAGTCGTAACAGCTTGTCCCAGTGTCTAGTCACTGGAATTGCGTTCGCAGAGAGGCGGGAAATTCTTGGTAGGAGAGCGTATAAAATAGTATAAATGCGAAGCTACTTTGCATAAAAGTATGTGAACATTGTGAAAAGGTATAGGGAACACGGCATAACGATGAGTCGCGTTGATCTGCCAAAACTTACTTCAACACACGTAGCGAGAAAAATAGCACACGACGGAGAAATCTGTTATGGAAGAAGTAATTGAAGGAGGCCAAACACCCGGAGCTGTATGGATCAGACAGGTGATCGGGGCGGTAGCTGGCAAGGAAAGTGTAACAGGCGCATTAGGAAAGGTGAGAGACTAAGAAGCATGCCTAGGCAACTTATCAGAGGTTGAGTGGATAAATCCAAAGATGGCTGCACTTAGACTCGATATTGTTGTAACAGGGAACAGCTTTGGTGGCAATCATTCTGGGTTGCAGCTTAATCTACTCTCACGCACGGTGAATCCGGTACTGTTCCAAAGCTGTTGCCAAATAAACAAGATATTGAGGAGCTAGAGGACTGACTTAAGCCACAAAGATAAAATGCCAATAATAATTGACAGTTTGTGCTAATGTTACATAAGGATTACATTACGTTTATTTCTTCAATCACAAAACAGAAAGTTAATGTCTAAAAATTGCACTGATACCGAGGACGTTTGTTGTTTTATTTGTGGAGAGGTGACACTTTCTAACCAGAGGAAAAATGTCACTACTCAAATGAGGTAGCCATACCAACTTTACTTTGGGTGCAAGAGTGGCGACCCAGACATGCCTCAGGCACCGCAAATATGCAATGCTACGTAAACAACAGAAATTTCAGTGTTTCAATTATAAAAGATCATTACTGCTATTTGCAGTTACCATGATGTGGAAACAGCTGATCAACCACACAGTATAGTTACTGCTGTTTGGTTTCACCTTTTCCGGTGAAAAAGAAGCAAAAATAATCGAGCACAGTCTACGCCAATATTCCAACTGCATTGAAACCAGTACCACATGGTGAGGGGATTCCAATTCCAGAACATCCACAAAGTAGCAGTAGTAGTAATCTCAGCAGTCTATCAACTAGACACAGAGCAAACATAAAACCATGGAGATCAGCGAATAAGCAAGAGTCGTCGAGTCATAAACATCGTGCCATAAATAAATAAATGGTATATTCCTCAGTGATTCGAGGTGCAGTCCAACTATGTGGTCTGATCAATGTGTACAACAAGATCGCAAAAGATAATCAATTTGTTCACGTTTTTACAATCAATTCAAAACAGGTACTACACTAATTGGCAGGATTAAGGCATTAAAGAAATTAGAAACCAGAAACAATAACGTATGCAGATTTAAACAGATGTCCAGTTAAAGTAATACGGCCACTCCTGGAACCATCCCCAGGGAACCTGCTTCCATGCAAGGTATTCCCTCGAAAGGTTTCGCCCGCACTTCCATGCAATAACTGGCCGTGTGCCGGTGTGGCTAGTTGAAGGTGTGCAACACACTTCAGCTAATATGCCGCAAGCAGAATGAAACAATTTGACAAATAGTAGAACAAAACATTTTTAGTTTTTTTTTTCACACGCCGATTTTTCTCGTTTTTGTCATTTTTAATGTTTGTAGTATCAAACATGTGAATCAATACAACACTGTACACCATTCTCCCAGTGATTCCGGTTACGGACCATGTCTTCAAGAGTGATAATCCATTGGCACTCCTCCTCTTTGGGTCCCCATCCTGGAAGACGCACGGATCCAACAGCGGCTAGAAACGACGTCAGCGATTTCATGTGCTGCCGCCATGTAGAAGGCTGAGCACCACGCGGTCGCCTCCAGCCAGGTCCTTAACAAAGGGACAGAGCGCGACGCGGTAGACGCTCAGGTGCCATGCATAAGAGGTGACCGAGCCCTCTTAACTGGTGCAACAAAACCAGTTTGTGGAAGGGAATACTCGCATTCCCCAAGATGCGACGTCGAACGTCATTACTATTAACCCGATGTCGCCACCAAACACGAGCAATCCTCCTTAAGCAACCGTTATCGAAGGCAGAAAGACGACGCATGTCTTCCACGCGAATCGGCCAGGACTCGCACCCATACAACAATACTGAGCGAACTGATTCACTGTAAACGCGGCCCTTAGCGAGAATGAGACGTCGCGACTACGCCACAAGTGCCACAGATTGACAAATGCTGATCGAGCTTTAGCGATGCGAAGAGAAACTTCTTTGTTGATAGTGCCGTCAGCAAAAACACAGCTCCCAAAGTAGACGAAACAATCTACCTGTTAAAGTTGTGCAACTTCGAGAGGGAGCACGGGAGCAGGTGAAAGCCAATCATTGAGCAGTACTTTACACTTCGATGGGGAGAAGCTCATGCCATATTTAGGTGCTTCAACCGCCAAACGATCCAGAATGAGTTGCACTCCCTGAGGATCGTCACAAAGTAAGGCGATATCATCAGCATAATCTAAGTCGGTCGTGCACTCACACGATAGAAGCTCTAAGCCAAAATGTTGAAAACCTTCTGAAGCATTCGACAGAACGTCTTCGATTGCGAATTTGAAGAGGAATGAGTACATACGGCAGCCCTGCCGCACACCGCTATTGACAGTGAATGGCGAGGAAAGCTTGCCTTAGACCCTCACTCTGTCGGAGGTATGAGAATAAAGTGTACGTAAGATGAGGATATTTCTCTGGAACCCCGTTCCTTAGCAAGCAACGCCATAAAGTAGGTCGATCAACGTAGTCAAAAGCGGCACGCATGTCTGAAAGTGCAACGACAGTGGGCCAGTGATAAATGTGATGATGTTCGAGGAGCTGGCGGAGCGTGAAGATTCGATTCACGCATCCGCGGCCAGGACGGAAACCAGCTTGTTCTTCGCGGTAATATGATTCACGTATTGGGGATAGCCTGCGAAGCAGAATGGATGCCAACATCTTAGAAGCAACCGAAATAAGACTAATCCCGCGATGATTTGCACAAGAAGTGCGAGCCCCTTCACAAAATAGTCACCAAATTCAGCTGATGCGGACAAGGATGACTCGATCTGTTCTTATCCTGGTCAGTCAGCATGCAGTGATCCAGAGTTTACCACAGTGCATCATCAATCGCACACAGAATAACACAGGAAGAACTAAATCCCATTATTTGAGTTGCGCTTACTCAAGAAGATGGCATAGTTGTTAGGTTCAATATCCCAACAATGGAATCTTCTAGAATATGTTAGAATTACTTCATATCGAAATCGCCACTAGCAGTTGTAGTCTTACTTCAGAAAGGAAGGTACTCTGGTATTCTTTGCCTATAATAAGGACCTCATGAATGCCTTAGAAGTAACTCATGACGCAAAAAGAATACAGACTACTTGTAGACCCGAACTTACAATCAAGGCGGTAATATTGCACAATGGAAACCACTTTCCATCTATTCTAGTAGCGCACGCTGTCCACATGAAAGGAACGTGTGATAGACGAAGTAATTATGAAAGTATATTTATTACAACAAGTACAGCTGATGTGCCTGTGGTGATTTGCCGATTGTAGTCATTTTACTGAGACTGCAACTGGGATATACAAAGTACTGCTGTTTCTTGTGCGAGTGGGCTGGTCGAGCAAGGGATTCGCACTACACTAAGGGAAGAAATGAATTCGCAGATAAAACAGCTGATCGAGGTCAACATATTAACGTAACCACCCATACACACCAAAGTGGGTCTGACGAAAAACATCGTGAATGCCATTATCGGCAAGTAACAGCGTTCCGATAGCCGCATGAAAAATGCCCTTGACTCCATGAAGCCAAGACTAAAGAAGGAATTGTTGTAAATCCTCAGATTCGACAGATATTCATAGATGACCAATTCAACAACTTGCTGAGTGATGTGAAACAAACTTGGAATGCCTATCGTCTAATATCTACTAACTTTCTTCGGAATGTTATGGCATAAAACTACGATGAACTAATAAAAAAATGCTAGAGCAGTAGCAGAGCCTTGGCAACAATGTGTGTCTCTCAGGTTCTACTTTCTTCATTCCCATCTTGATTACTTCTCTGGCAACCGCGGTACAGTTAATAGTGAACATGGCGAACGTTTGTATCCATATATATCAGCAATGGAACAACGCTACAAGGGAAAAATGGCCCACTAACATGATGGTTAACTACTGCTGGACACTCGCCACAGATGCGCCCAAACAACGGTACAAGTGACGAACAAAGAAATCTAAGAAGTAATCTGTGAGGCTATTGTTACGGGTATTGAGCTTGGCATATAAAACTATAAGCATGCATTTGATGATGTGGAGTAAAGAAAATGGAGCTAATTTTGAACTTTAACTTTCATGTTTGTGTTCAGCACATATGAAATGATAAAAATGATAAAAATGGGCTAATTTTATTTCAGCAACATAACTTTGTAAGCATTTGTTGTCCAGTGTAGGCAGAGTGATAAGCTGCGAACTTTGTAATCACGCATCAGAGCAGGTGCAGATCGGTGCACCTCACCGAGTGGACAACTTAATGTGCATAACGACAAGTTTGGATACAACTGCCTGTGCAAAAGCGATGACTTGGCAGGACGTTATCTGCTTAAAGCTATGAGAACAATGAGTGCCGTCTGAAGCAACTCGAAAATAAATGCAGTTCATGACTAAATGTACGTCAGCGATCTGGTCTAGACGCAGGAAAGTGCACATCGATTAAATGCGATAAGCAATCAAATTGGTGAGGATGAGCCTGCGAAGGAGAGCTCGATACGCTTAGACCAGGTTGGATGCTGCACATATAACACCAACACAGAGCCGTGCAAAGGTTTTCTTGCACCAAGCAAATTGAAATTGGCTACATTTTAAGGATGGCGAATAGTAGTGAGCTGAAGATAACCATGCCAGTGTTGAGGCGGTCAGTTCATGCAGATGCCTAACAATACCAATATCACACCTTCGATTTATTTGCGAGTTCTTAAATCCCGTGTCGATGGCAAGCTGACTTCAAGTGTTACCTATATACCATAACTAAACCGGCATTATCTAAGCAAAACAGGTAGAATGACAGGGAGATTTATGCAAAAGGGGAAAGGCCAAATGTGCGAAACTGTGTGAACGTGATCTAGTCAAAAATTAACCTAGTTTAACACCGCCATTCTCACGTGATAATGGGAGTCACATGTAGCAAAAGCTGGTGATCGAATTGGCAATATCGACCACAGTCAGCTGCAACAGAAGAATGAACTCGGTGCATGGCCCGAATGGTGTGCGGCGCGCATCAGCGGGTGACCATAAGGAGGAGATAAGTACCGAGAAGGTTGGTCAACCGCAAAAGCCGAACATTGAAATATTCATTGATTGCGTGATACAACACTATCATCAAATGAATCAAACACACACAAATACAGCGAATATGAGCAGAATGGAAAATTGATTCAAGCTAGATGAGTTGTGATGATTGTATAGAAGCAGAGAACAAACTATGTCTTATTACTGATAAGATAGCATACGTTGACAAAGAACGCTTTCGGAAAACTCTAATCACCGCACCAGTGTGAAGAATTAACGTGAGGAAAGTAATCGTTGGAGCAGAGGGGTGATGACTTCGGAGAAACTGAGAATTCCTATGCTAGGCGACAAGCGCCGCAACCGATTGCATAAAGAGCGCCAGTGGAATGCCCATAGGGAGCGAAGAATGCTTCTTTGGTACTCGTAACGCACTTCAAAGTGAATCCAAACACGACAGCGGCGAAACTTAGGGAAGCGATTTAGACAGAAAGATGGGAAACTGATTTAGTGAACTGTCACACGTGCCAGGATTGCTATATAGACCATAAAAAATGAAGAAGACTGGTGGAGCGTCGTGTGATAAAGAGTCCCCTGCAATGGCAAAAAGGCAGCGCTGGGAATTAAACATTCAAAAAAAGACGAACAAGTACCTGTATATCACGCACTGACTCGACGCAACCTCTTCTTCAATCGTCTTCCACAGCTGTGGGGCAAACTCCTCGTATTTGTCCACATAAATGGAACAGAATTGCGAAATGTAATGTTTGATCAGCTTTGAGAGAGGATAAATTCAGAGACGAATAATTAATACTGGATAATTTGGGCAGCAATAACAGAGGTTATTTCAAAATTTGGGGTAAAACGAAAGGCGTTGCAAGATGATGGGCTTGCTCTCTCCAGATCGAATCGCAGCAAGTCAACTCCGCCGGTCTGGATGGATGCTGAATGTGTTTAAAATCCTGTCTGTGGTTGTAGAAGCAGTTACTTCGATATGAATACTGTATACTACTGTATACTGTGTTATATAGAAAGTAGAAATGAATTCTGTACAACTCTTTCTAAATATGGTGAAAACCGTTATTGTCAGCCGTGAATGTCGTTATCGTTCTCATGTAACATTTAAAATATCTGACTCACGGTATTGAAGGACTCACAAATGTAAGTGTACAATCGTTCTCTGAATCGAATAGTGGCAAAATATAAATCTAACAACGTTTGAACTTCTGCACAGATGTTGCCTCTATCACATGTTCAGGCAAACTGTACCAGATAGTTATCACATTCTGTTCGAAGCATAGTGGGTGGCGAACTCGCTTCACATTAGGCACAACAAGTTTGTATCCGTGCCTGCCTGTGCTGCATAGCTCCCGTAAGTGTAACATCGGCCTCAGCATGGGGAAGTCCCCAAATGTAGAATGCGGTAGGTCATAATGAGGTCGACTCGCACCCGACGGTAGGACAAGGTGCAGAGTCCTATGTTCTCGCACCGGTCTTCATACCCCAAGCCACGTAAATTCGGGATGAGCCTGATAGCAACGTGTTGGACCCGCTCGATCTTTTGTGCGTCGCCTCGGGTATTCGGAAAGTAGGCGGGCGAGCCATACTCTAGCATTGGCCTAAAGATGGCAAAATATCTGTACCACAGATAGTGTTATATATATATATATATATATATATATATATATATATATATATATATACATTACACAACCTGTGGTACAGAAATTGTGCCATCGGAACCATGGCTGAATGGAAAAACAGTACGAATAATAAGAAAATAACAACAACAAAAGCTTTTTGTCTAGTTTACCACTGTTTTTGAATTTATTTTGTTAGTTTTTTAAGGGGGGAGGAAGAAGGGACACCACAACACACCGACGCACACGTTCGCCACTGAAATCGATCTTGAGCCATGGCTTCCAAAGACTTCAATCAATAAATATCCGCATCTCTCGGACCCCAACCAGGTAGTCGACGACAACCGGCCGAGGCCAAATGTTTCGTCAACTTTTTCATGCGGCTTCTCCAAGTTGCAGGCTGTCCACCAGAACATCTCTTCAAGCCCTGTTCAGCAACCGCAAACAACGCACGACACAGATAACATTGGACAGGCATGCGCAATACGTGTCCCAACCAACGCAGTTGATGCAGTGAGACGAGCTCCTCGAGCGAGTGGCTTCCACGTCCCAAGGCACGCCGTCTAACTTCCACATTGCTTATGTGGTGCCGCCACCACACAAGAGAAATAAACTGCAAACAGCGGTGCTCGAGGACGGATAGTTTGAGCAAGTCATCTTTACGAATGGGCAGGTCTCGCATCGGTACATTACAGCACGAACAGTTACACAATAGACCCGCCCTTTGACGGAGAGACGAATGTCGTGGCGACGCCACAAACGCTTCGGTCTAGAAAAAGCGAGGCGTGCTCTCGAGATGCGCATCGAAGTCTCGTCTCCAACAGCCCCGCCAGCAGTGATGTAACTTTCCAAGTAGACAAAGCTCTCCACAACCTCTACTGTCTCACTACCAAGAGTGAATGCAGACAGAAGCACTTGCCGGTCTTGGAAGCGAGCCTAATATTTCGAAGGCGAAAAGTACATACCATACTTTGATGCTTCAATCGTCAAGCGGTTTAGTGCAAGTTGGACGACGTGTGGATTGTCACCCAGCAAGACAATATCATCAGCATAATCCAAACCAGCAAATCGACTACCTGGGAGGAGCTCAATGCCAGCGTGCAACGAATCGGCCAGAGCGTTCTTCAGGACATCATCGATGGCAAAGTTGAATAGGAACGGAGAGATAGGGCATCCTTGCCGAACTCTACTGGAGGCCACAAAGGGAGGCAAAAGCTTGCCATAAGCCCTAACCCTGCCCGAGGTCAAACTATAGAGAGAGCGCAGTATGGAGACGAACTTCTCAGGGACACCATTCCTCAGTAGGCAGTGCCTACAGTACCGTCCGATCGACCGTATCGAAGGCTGCACGAATATCCAAGAACACAGCAATCGTTGGCCTCTGATACCCATGACGGAGCTCGAGGATTTGGCAGAGTGTGAAGAATTGTTCGATGCAGCCGCGATCAGGGCGAAACCCAGCTTGTTCTTCTCGCTGTAACGATTAGCGCGTTGGGCGTAGCCTGCGAAGTATGATGGACACCAGCAGCTTGCAAACAACGGGGACTAAGCTTATGCCTCTGTAGTTGGAGCAGATTGTGTGCAGGTCCTTTTTGAAGATGGAGACGATTACCGATTTACCCCAAGATGATGGAATTTCCTCTTTCGACCATACTTTCGAGAACAAAGCGGTGCGTTCTCGAACCAGCGAAGCACCACCATCATTAAATAGGGCTAGGGGCTTTAAAGCACTTCATGTGGCGGAGGTCCTGCTCAATTTCCTTGTAAGAGGGAGGATCTTTGAGGGTATACCACTCGGTCACAACGCGAGCGCCAGATGTAGCAGATGGAGCTGGGGATCAACAAAACTCCGAGCCAAAATGTTCGGCCCATGGCTCCAATCGTCGTTGAAGTTTAGTGATTAAGGCGCCATCCTCCTCGCATACTGTTTCACTTATACCAGATCGAACACCTTCGGTGACTCGAACGAGATGGAAAAGTTTTCTGGTATTACCAGAGAGACTAGCAAGCTCCATTTCCCTAGTACGTCCACACCACCAAGTTTCGCGGTCCATTTGCAGACTCTTGCGCAACTCTCGATCAAGGGAGTGGCGTCCTCCACTGTGTCTGGAATCCGACGGGGTCAAGCGGCGTTTATCCATCAGCGACAAGAAGACGGCGGAAATCCAATGCTTCAGTGGGTGATGGGCAACTCCACAAGTGTCGATACTGGCGGAAACTAAGGCATCTTTTATCTGCGCTCGCTGCGAACCGAGGTCACCGCCAATAGTTGAGCCAAGCAAGACTGACAGTGAAGCATGATACCTGGTTAAAATCGCAAGGTTTTGTAGATTTGCGACGTCTAGTCAGTAGTGAGCGCGCTTGGGTGATCCTCCGAGACGTATGCAAATCTTAGCACGAACCAATGCGTGATCGGAGTCCAGATAAGTTGACTAGTACGATGGGCAGTCTATTACGCTTCCGCGTTATCTGTACCTGATTGCTATGTGGTCAAGCTAGGAGCACTCTTACGTTTGTGACGGCGGGCGCCAGGTAGCAGTGTCTCCTCGAGTGGCGAAAACTAGTGCGCGAAAGATACAAGCGATGATCAGAGCAAAGAGCAAGCAGTCTGTCTCTAGTGTCTGATCGACTGTCACCGAGACCAAAACTACCCCCAAGGTGGTGCTCACTTGGTGGAAGGCGGCCCACCCGTGCGTTAAAGTCCCCGGCAAGAATATATGAATGTCCCGGCCATTCAGCGTACATACTGTGCAGCGGAGGGGTAATTATCAACAGAACCCGAAAGTTGCCGTTACCTACAGTAAAGGAAGATGAACCCGTCGGCGCCAAATCACATTGTGTCTACCAATTCGTGTGTGACTGCGGTATCAGTTACATCGGCAGGACCGAACGGGTTTTAGATTCCAGAGTGAGGGAACACTTACCTAATTGGGTTCAGCGCGAAGTTACTCAATCCACCTCCGATGATACGTGCTCGCGTACACCGCCAGCGTCCTCCATAGGCAGACACATCTTGGCGACTCGTCACCGGGTTAATCCCTTATCGGCGTTCCGGATCTTGTGACGTCATAATAACGCACGCCTTTTACGATTTGCCGAGGCCGTCGCGATAAGCCGAATTAGACCAGCATTATGTGTCCAAAAGCAACTAGTTGTCAATCTGCGGTTGCCGTGGACCTAATCCCAACAACAATGACCACACCCATAAATTTGATTGGCTTGACTGTGCCCTGTAAGGCATAAAAGGATTTCCCAGTTATTGTATTGGTACTGACGAGATAATACGAAATGCTAGCATCTGCCAATATCCGTCTTCTCATTTCGTTGTTCAAACTAATGAAGGGAACTAACTGTTTTAAAGAATGAATATATCATTCCTTTTGGAGGAACGCATAAGTTCATGTAGCTGCTGCTAAAAGCTATTCTTCACTGCAATCCGGGCTACAGACTGTAGGGGTGTAGGCCGATAAGACAAACAAGGCACGCTTAACGTCTCGACGCCTGCTTACATAACATGAACCTCTTAATCGGACTGCGCATAGCCGATTGTTGACTGGGATCCAGTCAAGCAGAGCTGATTCAGCCCTGGCACTCAGTGCAACCCCAACATCAGCTTGGCCAGAGGCGGCAGCTTCTGGGTCTCTGGAAAGCCGCAAGTGGTATTTAGCGTCAGGGTTTACCGGAGAGGCCATTCTGATGACGGCGCTAGAGTCTTGTAATCCGGTCTCTGAAAGGCAATAGATGTCTACCGAAAGCGTTTCAAGAGTACGGGCCAGACATGCTTGTCGTCCAATCTGCATCAAAGTTCGTACATTAAACGCTGCGAGGATGAACGGAGAACCAGGTCGAAGAAGAGCTGGAGCTTCGGCGGAGTGAGAGGCGGTTGCGATCGCAGGACAATGAAAACCGGGAGTTTGGCTGTTCCATCAGTTGCGAGACGTGGGTCGTTTGTGAAGGTGACCGAAGAAGATATAAGAGTACATATAGGTGAAGGACGGGAGGTGGGATGACCTGTAAGTGGAGGTTGAGCAGTTGAGTTAGACTAGAAGATAAGTATAGCAGGAGCAGTAGTAATCAGTGCGGTCCATGATTCGTCAATGGGCGTGATACTACCCGGTTGCCCAGGCCGAAGTAG